GAGGTGAGAGAAATGCAAAATGGGACAGAATTTTAAAAAAAAGGAGAAAAGGGAAAAGAGGCAGACAGTTGCCATAGGAGAACGCGAGGACTGGGGAGATAGAATTTAAGGGCTGAATCGGAACGGGACGGGGTGACTCTTTCCGCTGGGCTAAAAGTTAAATAATTTCCTCGAGTAACAGTCCGCCAGTGATTTTGTTCCTCTGCTAGGCAAATCTTCGGTTTCTTCTTGTTTCAGAGGCGAGAATAAAAGGCACAGTGGAGGAAAAACTACCACAATTTCACGAAACAGAGAGGATGAAGTTGGATTCCTCGAATCAAAAACCCACAATTTAATCTAACAATTTCCTTCTAGAAGAGCGCACACTTTTTTCCAGTTACCCAATAATCTATGCGATGGGATGTCTGAGAAAAACGGCAGTTGTTTTCCGTGCATCCGGTTATGTCACCCAAAAAGAAATATCCGGAAAGTGTCGCATAAAAATACGTTTGCGAAAGGGGCACAATAGTCGCTAGCTAGAGCTCTTAATTCAAAATTATGCCGGAAGTTTTACTTCTGAGTTTCTGGACGCTACTTAAAGCTACAATTTGCATTCCATGCTGCATGCGAGAAACGGAAGCCCTCTTCTCATAAAATGGAAAAATAGGTTCAATAAAGGGTAATAGTACATTAGCAGAATGCAAAAGCTCCAACCAGAAGCTGCTTTTGCAGCTTAATGAGGTGATTTGCAATGTCCTACAGGACTAAAGACCTTTTTTTCTGATCATTCAGATGATTTGAATTATTTCTGTGCAATTTGGCGACTATTGATCCCGCTGCAGAGGTATATAGTTTCCTTGAAATGTCTGAAGACGGTTCGATGTCGGACTAGAGTTGTACTGATGATTTCATTTTTCTAGTTAACAACCTCTATGGGCCCAACAGCTTACGTGATATTGGCAGTTTCGGGCAAGCTACTTATGCAGCGATCAAAGACGCCGAGAGTTACGCACACACCGATTAACATGGAGTACTCGGAATAAATCCTGGCTACGAGCGAGCGAGCTGCAGAGAAGAGTTAAGCGCCTCAGCACTCATCCATGCAATAAGATGGAATACGAATTCTAAGAAATATAGGCGTATAGTAAAAACAGAAGCGGTGTGAGTGCTTGTAGCCATGACTAATTATATGCAGGGAAATGGGCAACAACAACAAGAGGGTGATTTGTCGGGATGGAGCGGCACTGAAATGACTTCTACTCAGTCGGTCGGGAGTGAACCGTTCTGGGCAACTGCAGGGAAGGACCTTGTGAGGTGCCAGCATAGAGTAGGAGACAAGAGTGGCAGCGAATTGCGGCAAAGTAGGGTCGACGGTATAAAGGGAGTTTACATCGGCTAGGTTTACTGACACGTAGTTACAACACCACCACCACCACAACCACCACCACCACCATCACCACCAATACCACACCCACAGTAATATTAATAGCAGTCACGACCGTCGTGTCCGACGATGTCCACTGGGAGCCCACGGTGTGGTGGACGCAGAGGCAGGGAATTGCGTGCACATTAGCCCATAATGATAGCAGACCTGTGCGGAACCCTCGACAACATCCTCTTCTCTCCCACCTGGGCTGCGTGTGAAGACAGACCCAAAAGAGTCGG